CTTTGGGGCCGGAGGGGGTGGGAGAGGGAGTAGATGGAGTGGGAGACCCAGGAGTGGGAGTAGGGGAGGATGGAGTGGCCTGAGGGGAGGCGATTCTGATGGAGCCATCGGAGTTTCCACCGAGGGAGACAATGACGCCGATGACCCCCTTGGAGTTCATGGTGAGCTGCATGCCCGTGTTCAGCACTGCGCCGTTGGACCCCACAATCGTGCCGTTGCTCCACCCAGTCATGTCCCCTGCAGTGACCGACCCGTCCTCATTCACAGTAGGCTCAATCGGCTGTCCCGCCTTATCCAGGATCTTTCCCCCCTTCAACAAAAGGGTTGTCATTCCGATGGTAAACCCGGGGTTGTCGCCAGTGTGGATGGCAATGCCGGGACCAGCGAGTGTGCCGTTAGGATAGCCGGTGTAAACGCCGTCAACGGTGTAGGAACCATCAGGGTTGGCAGTGGGAGTGACTGGAGCGCCAGTAGAGTCAACCACTGTGCCGTTCCGCTGGAGAGTGTACTGCGCGACGCCCGGGCCAAACGACAGGCTGCCGTCGGCGTTGATGGTGAGAACGGTGCTGCTGGCGCTGGGAGCAGGGGGGCTGGGGCTGCCGCCCAGGCCGGGGTTGGTGGTAGGAGTGGGAATGGGAGCGGGAGTGGCGCGGGCGGAGATGCTGATGGAGCCGTCCAAGTAGAGGGCGAGAGTGAAGACCACACCCACTGTTCCGTCCGGGTTGAGTTTGAGCGTCAAGCCTGTGTTCAGCACGGCGCCGTTGGCGCCCTTGATGGTGCCGTTGCTCCACCCGGTCATGTCCCCTGCGGTGACCGACCCGTCGTCATTCACAGTCGGCGGAATCGGCTGGCCCGCAGCATCCAGGATCTTTCCCCCCTTCAACAAAAGCGTCGTCGAACCCATGGTAACCCCGGGATTATGGCCAGTGTTGATGGTAATGCCAGGGCCAGTGAGCGTGCCGTTAGAATAGCTGGTGTAGACGCCGCCAACAGTGAAGGAGCCATCAGCGTTGGCAGTGGGCTTGACTGTAGCGCCGGTTGAGTCAACCACTGTGCCGTTTCGCAGGAAATTGTACCGGACGACTCCCGGGCCGAACGACAGGCTGCCGTCGGAGTTGATGGTGACGGTGGTGGCGGCGACGCCAGAGGGACTCGGGCTTGGAGCACCGCCGGCTGGGCCGGGAGTTGCGGCCACTGGAAGGCGGTACGCGATCGCAGCAGTGGCGGAGAGGATGAGTGAAAGTAGCAGCAGCGCGAGGGAAGAGGGCTGGCTCGCCATGGCTGGCGAGAGGAGCGTTGTGCGGACGGCGGGAAGCAGGGAGAGAGAAGTCGCAGCGAGCGCGGAGCAGCGTGAGCAGCGTGCGCCCGTCGATGGCGCAGCTGGCAGGTGGGGCACTCGACGGCGATGGGAGGGAGAGCTTTCCCCTAAAGCTGGCTCGCTGGGCTGAATGCCCCACTGATCCAACGCTGCCGCTTATGTAGTGAGCGCGGGGGGAATGCATCGCGTGAAGGGAGGGCTGAAGGGAAGGTGCATGGGGGGATGGCGGAAGGTGGCTCGCAAGCGGCGTCAAGGTGGAAAGTGAATCGTGGGAGACCTGCGGGCATTGGCATCAGCAGGACCAGCCGCGATGCTCGCTGCACGATGCGCCTCGCTGGTGCGCGTGATGCTTGGCGCAGCTACGGCGGTCGGATTCTGGACGCCTAAAAGACACTCCAAGCCGTCCAACGGCTGTGCGGGGTGCGGCCGGAACGGCAAGCGTGGCCAAGGCGCGCGGCGTGCCTTGCTGGTGCGACATAATTGGCTGCGGCGGTAGCAAGGAGGTAATCGATGGCATTTGGGATACTATATTGCTTTGCTGGAAAGAATCTATTGGCTAACGAAGAGGTTTGGGTCTGCAAACAAAGAGGGGCGACGCGAACGGCTGCGTGGGCCTGCTACAAGTGATAGGGCAAACGGCAAATCGCCCAGGGCGACCACTAAGGCGACCACTAAGGCGACTACTTGGGCGACCAAGCAGACCACCCAGCGACCGAGCGGGGGTGTTGGCTGTTGCTTGCTCCTGATACAGGCGGAAAGAGGGAGTCGGGGAATCGGGGGGGGCTCGATCGCGGTTGGTTGGGAAAGCGGGAAAGAAGGGGGAGTTGGGGAGAGTGGGGTGATTGGCTCGATAGAAACACAATCGATGTAGCGCGCTTGCTAGAATAACAAGCCAATCTATAATTTGGAACTCCACTGGAAAATGGTGTCCACAAGATCAAAAGTGTCGGAAAGTATACCGGCGCTCAGTATTAGGGGCCCCGATAATATGTACGGTCAATGGCATGATACAAACAATCAGAATTAGCGAGTTCGCAACATGAGTTATCAGTCGGGTTCCACCGTTAGTCAGAAACTGCACGAAAAAATGTCAAAACATATCTTAGTATGTTATTGTAGACTGTATAGGTTTGTGCCTTAGAGAGTACAACACTAGCCTATATTCTCTTGTACTCTCACATTCTAATTCATTCTTCCTTTCTAACATGGTATCATGAGTAGGTTAGGTCCAGCTCGCCCGCCAGCGTTTCCGCCCTAGGTCCTAGCCGCTCATCCCCTAGCCGGCCCTGTTCCTAGCCAGCCCTTGCGCCCGTCCCGTAGCAGCTCCTGCGCCCGCCCGTTAGCCGCCCCCTCGCCTGTTCGTAGCGGCCCCTGCGCCCATCCGTAGGGGCTCCCCCGCGTCCGTCCGTTAGCCGGCCCCCGTGCCCGCCCGTCGCGGCCCCTGCGCCCGTTCGTAGCGGCCCCCCACGCCCGTCCGTAACCCCCCCCCCCCCCCCCCACCCCCGCCCGTCCGTAGCCGCCCCCCACCCCTCGAGCCCGTTCGTTAGCCGGCCCCCCGTGCCCGTCCGTCGCGGCCTCCGCGCCCGTTCGTACCTGGCCCCCGCACCCGTCCGTAGCCGGCCCCCGCGCCCGTCCGTAGCCGGCCCCCGCGCCCGTCCGTAGCGGCCCCTCGCGCCCGTCCGTTACAGTGACGGAAACAATTGTGCGTATGTTTTGCATTAATATGGGTATCTAGGCTTTAAGACCACTATACATTAAGCCTTAATGTATAATGATGGTACAATTTGGGAGGGGCATATAGTGGATGTATTTACATTACAAAAATCCAGAATAGTACATTGGATCTAACTTTTATCCCAAAAGATGTACAAATGGTACATCCGGACAAAAAGTTCCAACCAGAGGGAGCAGACTTCAGATTCGCGTTTCTGGTACCTAGCCCACCGACCTTTGGCCTTGATCACCACCCGCACCCACCTAGGAGTGTTGTCGATGAGGCTAGAGCAAACCTCGGCATGGATCTTCTCCTATTCTTCCTGTACCAGGTCCCAAAGCTCCTGGATTCCAGAGAAAGGCCTTTTATGCTTGGCCAGCTCCCTTTTCAGGTAAGCCCAGAGGTTGAGGTTTGATGAGGAAGAAGGCCACTCCAGGGCTGCATACTCATGTTCTCCAAGCCATTCCTGCACTAGGCATGACAAATTTTTGGAGTCATTGTCCGCACCGAAATGACCTCAGAGGGGAAAATGCTATAGAAATCAAGGGTCAATTTGAGTTCATCGTGCAAAATGCTCTCGTACAGGGGCCTGTCCATGCGCCCGTCAAGCTTGCATATGAACCCCACCCGTGCACATGTTTTACATCCCCACTCCTTCACCGATCCTTGTCCCCATAATTTACCGTCTGTTTGATTTGGTGGTACTGCAGGGTTGTGCCTTTACGAATCCAGGCAAACGCACGGCCATTAGTGCTGAAGTAGTTCATGTTGGTCCCATTTGACCAGATCACATGCTTTCGAACATTAATTGTCCACTCAGCATGCGACTCCAGAAATTGCAGCCGGCCCCTGATGTTTTTCTAGAACAGTCATGGCTTCTACGACAGTTGCAGCGTGACTAGACCCACGGACCCTAGTGTGATTTTAATGGTGTAAGGGTGCACAATCAACCATGCAACATTACTCTCAGTTTCGCGGTGTCAACGCTAGTTTTAGCCGCTCTATTAGTACCGCTCCCTCGCGTTTCTCCTGGACCACTACTGCCAGGTCAGCACTGACAAGCGGCTGCAATTGGCCGACTGGCGCCGTCGCCCGCTGCCGCCCGCGATGCTGCAGTATGCGCGCATGGACTCGCACTATCTGCCGTACATCGCCGACCGGCTTAGGTGGGAGCTAGTACAGGCAGACGAAGGGGTCGGCGGGAATGCCGGGTTAGCTGGGACCGCAGTAGAGATGGTAATCGGAAGGGGAGAAACAGCAGCAGGATCAGTAGGAGGAGGAGGGGGAGGGGGAGGAGCAGGGGGAGGAGGAAAGGGAGGGGCAGCAGCAGCAGGGGGGGGGAGCAGGAGGGGGTCTTGGGCGGGGCATGGCAGCGGGTCAAAGTATGAGGAGGCAGTGCGGCAGTCCAACGCCTTGTGCCTGCAGCTGTATGAGAAGCCAGGGGAGAGGGGTACGCCCGCTGAGAAGAGCACGGGAGGGGAGGCCATGGGAGAGAGAAGAGAGCGCGGGGAGGGCTTAGGTGAAGGGCGGGGGGGAGGGGGTGCTGAGGCAGCAGCAGCTGCTGCTCTCTTTCGGCAACTTTTGGGCGTGAGTGGGTATGTAGGAGGTCCTGTGCTTACAGGCGTATCTTCAGGTGGAATCTCAGGTGACTCTGCTGGTTCAGGTGCCGGATCTGTTGCACCTGATGCTGCCACGTCAGCGGGCCAGAAGACAGCGGATTGCTCCCAGGTGTTACGGGAGGTGAGGGCGGTGCTCGATGCGGTAACCAGATGGCGCGACACTGTAGCATGGGAAGAAGACAAGAGCCTACGGTTTCTCCTTGCTGACGTGGCAGTGGTGACCGTGGCGCTCCTACGGCCCACCACGTGTCAGGAGCTGATTGGGTGCGTGGGGAAGGCCATGGCAGCCGCTGCTGCTCTCATACCTCCCTCTATGACAGAAGGGGGTGGCATTCCTCGGCCTATTCAAGAAGGGCAGAGTGGAGGGCAGAAAGGCAAGGAGAGTGGGGGGGAGAGTGGGGGGGAGAGTCTATCTGTTGAGCTTACAGGAGGTACTTTATCAGTAACAGCGGAGCAAGCCTCTCCACCTCACCCTCCTTCGCCTTCCCCCCCTCCCCTCGTCCGTCGTTCTCCCGAGCTGGTCGCTCTGATCAGCACCACGTGTCGCAATGCGAGAGGTGGTGAGGGGGTGCGAGGGGCACCTGGAACCACTGAAGGGAACAGTTTGGAAGGGATTTCAAATGCGACCGGTGGCAGCACTTCAGGTTCTTGGTCTGGGAGCAAGGGGGAGGAAGAACTAGTGGCAGCGGTACAGGCGAGAATCGCAGAGATTGCGTTTCTTCTTGCTCCTGTCGTCATTCAGGAGCGAGCACCGGCGGCTGTGCAGGAGGCGTGGCTCATGGAAGCTGTGGCAGTCACGGCTGCTGCTGCTGTGTCAGGGAATCTCTGTGCAACTGCTGCTTCCTCTTCGGCTCTCCGGCCTCACTTGCTGCATGGGCCACACCATGGTTACCAGCAACAGGGTTACCACATGGCGAGTAACCATGCCCATGGGGCTGCAGAGGATGGGGGAAGCTTGCCCTCTGACTCCTCCCACCAACACCCCCACCACACTCTCCCTCACATCCACCACTCCCACCACCACCACCACCACCACCACCACCACCACCACCACCACCACCACCACCACCACCACCACCACCACCACCACCACCACCACCCGCACCAAAACTTTCAGGTGCCCAAGCGGTGGCAGCGGGCCCGCGACCCAAACCAAGCACGCCAAAAATTCATAAAGAAATTCTCGTGCCAGGGCCCCGTGTACGAGAACTGCCGCATCTACAGCGGGGACGGGCGCCTGCTGTGCTTCTGCGACCGGAGGAAACTGGAGTGGTACGTGGGGCGCGGGCTGGCTGAGTATGTGACTGTAGACATGGTGCCCTTGCTGCAGTGTGCGGAGGAGACAGGGCTGGGGGCAGGGGTGGGGTCAGGTGCCGGGTCGGGTGCAGAGTCGGGAGTGGGAACAGGAGAAGGATCAGGGCTGGGTTCGGGGCTTGGTGCAGAGGAGAAGGTGGGGTCTGCAATCGGAGAAAGGGCGGGAGGAACAGCTGCTGCTGCTGCCGTTGCTACAGTTGCTGAGGATGCCTCTGATGCACTCAGTGCTGCTGCTGCTGCTGCTGCTGGTGCTTCTGCTACTGATGCTGGTGCGGCTGCTGATGCTTCTGCTGATGCTTCTACTGCTGCTGCTGATGATGCCGGTGCTGCTGCTGCCAGTGCCTCAGCAGCAAGAGGCACCTCATCTCCCTCCCTCCCCGCGAACATCGCCATGCCCCTCTCAGTCTGCCTGCTCTTCCAGCCCAAGGGGCGCCCAGAGGACGACGAAAACCTCTTCTACATCCAGTCCAAGTCCAACCGCTGCGTCTCCTGTGGCGAGGCCACCCACTACCTACGCTACCGCCTTGTTCCCTCCTGCTACCGCCACGCCTTCCCCGAGCATCTTAAGTCGCACCGGAGCCATGACATTGTGCTGCTGTGCGTTGATTGCCATGACGTGGCGCATCGTGCGGCTGAGATTCACAAGAGGGAGGTGGCGAGGCGGTTCGGAGTGCCGCTGCTGCTGTCACCGCTGGACCGTAGGCTCGGGGGAGGGTCGGATGGGAGGGACAGGGAAGTGAATGGGGAGGGAGAGGAGGGTGGGGAGGTGGGGGAGGAGGAGGAGGTGAAGGAGGAGGGAAGAGAGGGCGAAAGTGGCGGTGAGGGTATTGCTGAAGCTGATGCAAAAGAAGGACATCTAGGAGGGAGGAAGGGTGGAAGTAGAGGGGGAAGGGATGCGAGAGTGGAGGCGGCATTTCTGCTGAATGAGGCTGGCAGGTCAGCAGTAGCAGTTTTACGCCACGGGGCGTCGCTGCCCGAGGGCAGGCTCTGCGAGCTGCTGCTGCCCATCTGGAAAGTTTTGAAGCGGGCAGCGGGCAGCCCGGTGAAGATCGAGGAGCTGGAGATGGTGGCGCAGGCAGGGAGGGGGTGCAAGGTGCGGGCAGGGAAAAGAAAAGGACTGGTTGTTGTGGGGAATAGGGAGGCTTTGGGGAAGGCTCTTGCTGGGCTGGGGGGGGATGGGGGGAAAGATCGAGTGGAAGGGCAGGTGTTAGGTGGTTCAAGAGGGGGTGAAGGAGCGGCTGATGTAGCAAGCGAGGGATTGAGTGTGGGAGTGAGTGAGGGAGTGAGTGAGGGAGTGAATGAGGGAGTGAGTGGGGGAGTGGGCGAGGGATTAGGTGAGGGATTAGGTGATAAATCTGCTGAACCCCAAGAGATGAGTGACCTTGGGCAGACAGGAGCAGCGCTCAGCTCATTAGCCCTCGAACCAACTCCAACAATCAAACCAGTTCCTCTAAGAGGCCACTGGGAGCACGGGTCACAGGTGGTGGCGCTACTGCTGGCGGGCGGGGGCGAGGCGGGGATTCGGGAGTTCACCCAGCAGTGGCGCGAGGTGTTTGTAGCGGCGCTACAGCCGCGGTTCCTGCCGCCCGGGTGGGACGTGCAGCACCTGGGAAGACGGCAGTTTGGGGAGTTTTCGGTGTATAACCCGCAGAGGAGGAGGTATGTGCCGGGGGAGGGAGATGAGGGAGGAGGGGAGGAAGGAGAGGAGGGAGGAGGGGAGGGAGGAGGGGAGGGAGATGAGGGAGTGGCAAGGGGAGAAGCAAGTGCGGAGGAGGATGTGGTAAACGATGCGACTTGAGGTGCTTTGGGTCCGTGCTTGTGGCAGCGGCCTCTCACCCGCGCTGCAGCAGTGGCGTGAGGCGTTTGTAGTGGCGTTTCAGTCGCGGTTCTTGCCGCTCGGATGGGATGTGCAGCATTTAGGGAGGATGTGGTCTGGGCTGGGGAGTTTCCGGTGAAAAGAGCGCAAAGGAGGTACCGGTAGTATGTAAGTGAGGAGGGAGATGAGGGGGTGGAGTGTAGGGGAGAGGTTTTGAGGTACATGAAAACAGAATTTGACTTACAATCTGCCGAGGAGATGTGGCACGTTGGAGAGAGGGTAGAAGAGTGGAGTGAGCAGGGACAAAGGAATCTGGATGTTACTTTAGTAGTAGTTAAACCAGCAATAGAATACTTTGTGCAAAGGAGGCTGGATAGATGCGCTCTACAAATGTAGGGAGGGGTGTCTGGGTAAAAGAAAGTGAATCCAAGTTAGGACTTGCTTGCTAGAGGAAGAGCATGTTTTCTTTCAGCGTAAGCTAGCAAGCCAGTATAAAATGAAAAACTTGCTTTGTACTTCAAAGCGTGAACTAGCAAGTGTCAAACATCTGTATTTGTCATGTTTGTATAGACTGTATAGGGTTACCTCTTAGAGGGTACAACACTTAGGTATATTTGTGTGTACTCTCACTTTACCAATCAATTCAATTCCAATTTTGATATGGTATCACGCGTAGGTAGGATCCCCCCCACCTACCGCTTCCGCTCATGCCCCCTAGCGCCCCTCCCAGGCCCCGTCGCGCTCCTCCCAGGCCCCCTAGCGCCCCTCCTGGGCCCCGTCGCGCTCCTCCCAGGCCCCGTAGCGCCCCGTCGCGCCCCTCCTGGGCCCCGTAGCGCCCCTCCTGGGCCTCGTCGCGCCCCTCCTGGGCTTCGTCGCGGCCCTCCTGGGCCCTGTAACGCCCCTCCCAGGCCCCCTAGCGCCCCTCCCTGGCCCCGTCGCGCTCCTCCCAGGCCCCCTAGCGCCCCTCCTGGGCCCCGTCGCGCTCCTCCCAGGCCCCGTAGCGCCCCGTCGCGCCCCTCCTGGGCCCCGTAGCGCCCCTCCTGGGCCTCGTCGCGCCCCTCCTGGGCTTCGTAGCGCCCCTCCTGGGCCCTGTAACGCCCCTCCCAGGCCCCGTCGCGCCCCTCCCAGGCCCCGTCGCGCTCCTCCCAGGCCCCCTAGCGCCCCTCCTGGGCCCCGTCGCGCTCCTCCCAGGCCCCGTAGCGCCCCGTCGCGCCCCTCCTGGGCCCCGTAGCGCCCCTCCTGGGCCTCGTCGCGCCCCTCCTGGGCTTCGTAGCGCCCCTCCTGGGCCCTGTAACGCCCCTCCCAGGCCCCGTCGCGCCCCTCCCAGGCCCCGTCGCGCTCCTCCTAGGCCCCCTAGCGCCCCTCCTGGGCCCCGTCGCGCTCCTCCCAGGCCCCGTAGCGCCCCGTCGCGCCCCTCCTGGGCCCCGTAGCGCCCCTCCTGGGCCTCGTCGCGCCCCTCCTGGGCCCCGTCGCACCCTGCCCGACCCCGTCGCAGCCGCCAGGCCCCGTCGCGCCCGCCCGGCGCCGTCGCAGCCGCCCGGCCCTGTCGCGCCCGCCCGGCGCCGTCGCGCCCGCCCGGCCCCGTCGCAGCCGCCTGGCCCCGTCGCAGCCGTCCGGCCCCGTCGCCCCCGCCCGGCCCCGTCCCACCCTGCCCGGCCCCGTCGCAGCCGCCCGGCCCCGTCGCACCCGCCCGGCCGCCGTCCCGCTCACCCGGCCCCGTCGCACCGGCCCGGCCCTGCCGCACTCGCCCGGCCCCGTCGCCCCAGCCCGGCCCCGTTGCGCCCGCTCAGCCCCGTCGCCCCGTCCCGGCCCTGTCGCACCAGCCCGGCCCCGTCGCGCCCGCCCGGCCCCGTCGGGCCAGCCCCAGCCCCGTCCTCCTCACTGGTACGGTTCCCCCCCACCCCGCCCTGCTCCGTGCCGCCCCGCACCACACTGTACTGCCTGGCACCGCATTGCTCAGCACTGCACCGCACTGTACCACACTGTACCGCACTGCACCGCACTGTACCGCACTGCACCGCACTGCACCGCACTGCACCGCACTGCACTGCCCTGCACTGCACTGGACTGTTCCTGATGGCGGCGGAGCTTCGCTTCGACGCTGAAGGTCAGCCCCTAGAGTTCGAGGCGTGGCTTGCCGACCTCCGCCGTCAACTCACTGGCCAGCGGCAGGATGGTGAACCGCTTTCCGCACACCTTGACGGTACGCTCCCCTGCCCAGACCCCCCTGCTATTCTGCCCGCTGACCCCACACCCACTGAGCGTGAGGCTACTGCTGCCACTGCCCGTGCGCGCTCTGTCTGGCTTTCTCGCGATGCTGTTGCCCAGCTTGCCATTAGCAACGCCCTTCCCCCATCCGAGCGTCCTCGCTTTAGGTCCCTCACTACTGCTCAGGCATACTTAGATGCTGTGATCAAGCGCTATTCCACCCCTCCGGCTGCCTCGGTGGGTCGCCTGATCCTTCCGATGCTCTTTCCTGACCTTGCATCTTTCCCCACTGTCTCTGACCTCGCTGCCCACCTGCGCTCGATAGATGAGACCTGGCGCGCTGCCTGCACTGACGCCCAGCTTAGAGCCCACCAGCCGCCCATTACCTCTACCCTCTACCTGCTTGCCACCCGCCTCCTTGACCGCCTTGCTGTCGCCCGCGACCGCTTTCTTAGCGTTCACCCCGCAGACCTCACCCTCACTGACTTTGTAGACACCCTGACTGTGATAGAGACCCGTCACCGCTCCATTGCCCAGGCGAGCGGTGTCGTGCCGGTCCCTATCTTTCAGGGTTGTGCCCCCGCTCAGTGCACCTTCTCCGACGGCTCTGCCGCAGTGGCTGAGACTGCTGCTGCAGTGCAGGTCCGTTCGGGGAAGGGCCGCCGCCCCAAGGCTGGGCGCGGCGGAGGAGGCGGCGGGGGTGCGGGCGGGGGTAGTGGTGGGGTCGGGTCGCACGGTGCTGGAGTGGACGAGGGGACCCTGCCCAGTTCAGCTGAGTCGCCGCCCCTGCAGGTGCAGCAGCCGCAGCAGCCGCCGCAGTCGCAGCCTTCGCAGCAGCCGCAGCAGCCGTCGCAGACGCGGCAGACGAGTGTCCTCCCGCCAGGGTGGCCCGGCGCTGGCGGTGGCCGGGCGCGTGGTGGTGTGCCGCGTGGTGGCTCTGGCGGCGGGCGTTGTCAGTACCAGATCCAAGCCGGTCCTCGCCGCGGCTTCGTTTGCGGTAAGCTCGGTCACTCCACTCCCCGCTGTTTTCGTCGCCTGGACGACCTCTTTCGTCAGCGCTTCGGCCCGTCGCCAGACCTCCCGGACAGGCACAGTTTGCTTAGTCGTCAGATTCAGATTTTTGATATGGACATGGATGCCATTGTTTTTGCTCTGCATGTGATGTATGCTGATGACTCTAGTGTGCTTCCCGCTTATTACTCACTGTTGCCTAGTGTATGTGTGCCTAGCTTAGCCTCCCTTGCTGCGTCAGGCGTAGGATCCCCTGCTTTGTGTAGTCTTGGTGCTTCCGCCGTCGTTCCGTCGCCAGACCCCTCGACTTCACTTTCCTTCACCTTGGACTCTGGCGCCTCTCGGTGTTTCTTCCGCGACTCCACCACCCTGACGCCGCTTCCTGTTCCTGCTGCCGTTTCTCTTGCTGACCCCTCCGGCGGTCCGGTAGTCGCCCGCAGTTCCACCACCCTTCCCTGTTCGGCGGTTCCTTCGGGTTCTCTTACAGGTCTGCATATCCCCTCGTTCTCCAAGAACCTGGTTGGTGTCGGCTGCCTCCAGGACCTTGGCGTCACCACTACGTTCCCTGGTCACGAGCGGTATGCTGTCTGTACCGAGGCCGCCACTGGTGCCCCCCTGTCCACGTTCCCCCGGGACCCGGTGTCCGGCCTGTTCACTCTGGACACCGTGACCCCCCTGGCTGGAGCGCCCCCTCAGGTGGCTGCGTCTACCCAGGTTGCTGCTGCCTGCTCCTGTCGCTCCCTCACTCACCCGACCCTCCTGTGGCACCACCGCCTAGGTCACCCTGCGCTCCCGCGTCTGCGTCACATGTCTCAGCACGGTCTCGTCCTTGGTCTCCCAGGTTCGCTCCCCGCGTTTCCCTCCTCTCCAGCCCCACCTTGCACGCCTTGTGTCGAGGGTCGGCTTCGCCGTGCCCCTCACTCCTCCTCGTTTCCCCCTACCGCCGCGCCGCTGCAGACCCTGCACCTGGACGTCTGGGGCCCCGCCCCCGTCCTTGGGCCACGTCGAGAGCGCTACTTCCTTGTGCTTGTCGACGACTTCACTCGTTACACCACAGTCTTTCCCCTGGAGCGCAAGGCCGACGTGCCTGGCGCTCTCATCCCCTGGCTTGTCTCTGCGCGTGTCCACCGCGGTCTCCATGTCTTGCGTCTTCACTCAGACCGTGGTGGCGAGTTTGCTTCCGGTGTCCTTGGTCGCTTTTGTCGTGCGGAGGGCATCACCCAGACGTTCACCCTACCGGACTCCCCACAGCAGAATGGGGTCGCTGAGCGACGCATCGGTTTGGTCATGGAGGTGGCTCGCACCTCCATGATCCATGCCGGTGCACCCCATTTTCTGTGGCCGTTTGCTGTGCGCTATGCTTCTCACCAGCTTAACCTGTGGCCGCACCCTCAGCAGCCGCAGGTTTTGCCGACCCGTCTTTGGACTGGGTCCCCTGGTGACGCGTCTGCGTTCCACGTCTGGGGCTGCTTTGCTCACGTCCGTGCCTCCGGCACGGACAAGCTCACTGCCCGCACCCTTCCCTGCGTCTTCCTCGGTTTTCCCCTTGACGCGTCCGACTGGCACTTTTACCACCCGCCGTCTCACCGCTTCTTTCACTCTCGTGACGTCACCTTTGACGAGTCTGTCTCCTACTACCGCCGCTTTCCCCACCGTGGTCCCCCGGTTACCCCCCCCCTGTTCCTGATCACCCCTTTCCCGGTAGTCCCTGCCCCTCCTCCTCCTCCTCCTCCCCGTCCCGCCCCCTCTGGTGTGTCCCACGTCACCCCCCTTCCGTCCGTGGACCCGGTTGAGGAGTCTTCTGACTCTGGTGGCCCTCCTGTGCAGTCCTCGCCGGCCGCCCCTCCCCAGGTGTCCCCTCCCCAGTCCCCTCCTCCACCGCCACTACCGCTGCTGCAGCCGTCGTCGTCGCCGCCGCCGCCGCCGTCGCAGCCCCCGTTCGCTGACTCTGGGGGTGCTCGTCCCGGTCGCCCTGGGGGTGGTCCCTCTAGGGATGCTGGTGTGGAGAGTGCCGGTGGTCGCCGAGGAGCAGCTTGCGGTCCAGGTGTCACCGTTGTGCCGCCGCAGCAGCGGTCCCCGCCGGTGTCCGCCCTTCGCCTGCTCGGCCTTCCGTCCCCCGACCCTGCGTCAGTTCCTCCCCGACCGTCTCCTCCTCTTCCTGTCTACGGCCATGTTTTCCCTCCGCCGGACTCGTCCCCGGCTCGTCTCCCCCCTCGTTCCCCTCCTGTGTCCCCTCCCCTGTCTCCTGACCCGACTCCTCCGTCGCACGTCTGGTCTCACCGCCCCTCCCGTGCTCGTCCTGCCTCGCCTGTCTTGCGCTCCCACCCTATGTTGCTTCGTTCCCACGCGTCTCGTCCTCCCCTTCTCTCGTCGCCTCCTCCGTCCTCCCTTGTTGTTGCGCCCCCCCCGCTGTCCGACTACCTTCGTGCCGCTCGTCCTCTCGTTCCTCGGGTCCTTGCCTCTCTCGTTACCGACCCGTCTGTTCCGGTCTCGTGCCTTGACGCTCTTGTCGCTGCTGTCGCTGACTTCGCCTCTACCCACCGCCTTGACTACGCCACCGCTCTGGTCTCTGACCCTGCCTATCCTCCGTCTGTCGGGGGTGCTCCTGCCCTTGGCAGTGACGTCCTGGAGGACCGCCAGTTTGAGCTTGCTTTCCTCTCCGAGGGTGCTCCCCATCTCTGTTCCATGCTGCTAGTCCCTGAGGGTGACCCAGACGCTTTCGACATCCCGACCCCTCGCACTTACGCTGAGGCGACTTCGGGACCCTGGGCCTCACAGTGGATAGCTGCCATGGAGCAGGAGATGGCATCTTGGAGATCCACCGGCACCTTCGTCGATTCTGTTCCCCCACCTGGGGTGAATGTAGTCGATGGCCGCTAGCTCTTCAAGGTGAAGCGCCCTCCTGGAGAGCCGCCTGTCTTCAAGGCGCGCTATGTGGCTAGAGGCTTCAGTCAGCGCGAGGGGGTGGACTTCTTCCAGACTTTCGCTCCGACCCCGAAGATGACTACTCTTCGGGTTCTGTTACACCTAGCTGCTCAGCGTGACTACGAGCTTCACTCCCTCGACTTCTCCACTGCCTTCCTTCAGGGCAGCCTACACGAGCAGGTCTACCTGCGTCGCCCTCCGGGCTTTACTGGCACCTTCCCTCCTGGGACCCAGTGGCTCCTGCGGCGCCCCGTCTACGGCCTGCGCCAGGCTCCCCGTGAGTGGCACGACACTCTTCGTGCTACCCTTGCTGACCTGCAGTTCTTTCCGTCTTCCGCAGACCCTTCACTCTTCGTTCGTGCTGGCCAGACTCCGTTCTACATCCTTGTTTACGTCGACGACCTGGTCTTTGCCACGGCAGACAGGGACGCACTGGCCTCCGTGAAGGCAGAGCTGCTGAAGAGACACACCTGCACTGACCTTGGAGAACTGCGCCGTTACCTTGGCTTGCAGATCTCCAGGGACAGAGCAGCGCGCACCATCACCCTGACTCAGTCACACTTGGTGCGCCAGGTCCTTCAGAGGTTCAGCCTTCAGTTCTCCTCTGCACAGCCCACCCCTCTGCCTGTAGACCACAGACTCTCCGCTCCAGTACCTGAGGAGGTGGTAGAGCCCAGTGGCCCCTACGCAGAGCTGGTGGGTTGCCTCATGTACCTGATGACTTGCACTCGCCCAGATCTCGCATACCCTCTCAGCATCCTGGCTCGCTTTGTGGCCAGAGGCAGACACCGACCGCAGCACTGGTCTGCCGCTAGGAGGGTTCTGCGTTATCTTGCTAGTACATCGGGCATGGGGTTAGTGCTTTGAGGACGCAGGCCAGTGGTCCTTACTGGACACACAGACGCTTCGTGGGCAGACGACGCTGAGACACTCAGGTCTACCCAGGGCTACTGCTTCAGCCTTGGCTCAGGTGCCGTCTCGTGGAGAGCTAACCGCTCCTCGTCTGTTGCGCAGTCCAGCTGTGAGGCTGAGATCTACGCTGGTGCCATGGCGGCACAGGAGCTCCGCTGGCTGACCTTCTTGCTCACTGACTTAGGTGAGCGGCCTAGCTCTGCCCCGGTCCTGTTCGCTGACAACAGGGCCATGATCCTCCTGTGTCAGGAGCCTCGACTCAAGGGGAGAGCGAAGCACATTCAGCTGCGGTACTTCCTCCTTCGTGAGCTACAGCAGCGACGTCAGGCTCGCGTAGTACACTTGGCCTCAGGTGCCAACACAGCTGATATCTTTACGAAGGCGCTTGCGCCTAAAGATCATCAGCGGCACTGTGTACAGCTTGGTCTAGTTCCTGTCGCTTCTCACTTGCTAGGACCTTGACTTGTATTGTCGTTTATATGTATACTCAGACTGGACTTGTGTCCTCTCCCAGTGTCTGGACTAGTAGTGCCGCCCTGGTCTTGTTCTTGCCTTGTCTGTACTCCTTTTGACTGGTCTCTCAGACCCTTGTCTCAGAGGTTGGACTAGTAGTGCCGCCCTGAGTTGCTTGTTTAGGGTATTCCCCTATGCAGTCTAGGGGGTGTGTCAAACATCTGTATTTGTCATGTTTGTATAGACTGTATAGGGTTACCTCTTAGAGGGTACAACACTTAGGTATATTTGTGTGTACTCTCACTTTACCAATCAATTCAATTCCAATTTTGATAGCAAGAACCTTTGAAATCAACTGTGCTCGAAAACTTGTTTTGTACTTCAATGCGTGTGTGAACATCGCGTTTTCGGAAAGATGCTTGGCGGTGAGTGATACACTCCAATGAAGGAATCGTATGAGAATCGTCTGGTTTCGTCTCGGTTTCTACTCGGTTTGGTTTGGATTGGAATCGATGGGTTGGTTTAACAAAGTTTAGTGAAGGGTTTGTTTTACAGCTGCTGCAGGGTGGAAACGAGGTCCTTCTAACGCGAACGCTTTGGACTCCCTCGCCATGCCCTTGATCCGCCCCTCGTCATTGTCACTCGCGAAGTAGGAGGCTCCCAGTTTCCGTGTGCTCCGCCGTTTATTCGTCACCAGGGCACCCGTTTATAAGTCTAACTCCGCCGCTGTTGGCTCAGAAGGCCACTGCGCGCCAATGGTGGGGCCTTTAGCGCTGCACCGCTCTGGACTCCACCAAACCGAACCGTCATCTGTCGTCCCGCCCTCACTCTCTATCGAGATCGCGTGGGGATTGGGTAACGAGCTCCTCATCTGCGCCCCCGCCGCATCCGTCGCCGCATCTGACGGCGCGACTGGCGGCGCGGTACCAGGAAGGTCTGATGGCCGACCGAATGACGTGGCAGGACGCGGCTCGGCTGTCGTCAGCGTGACGTGGGCCGACACGTCATCATTTCACCGGCAGATCGCAGCGGGTGCCTCGTCGCTGTACGAACGGCTGCACGCGGCGATATCGACGGCGGAAGATGCGGCGGAAGACGCGGAGGAGGCGGACCACCGTCGAGACAGGTGGCGACACGTCAGCAGGTGGTCCCGCCACGTCAGCAGGCTCCTCTCCCCGCCTGATTCGCAATCCACGCTGGCAGCTGCACGCGCGTCGCCCCACTCCCTTGGGATCTCCGCCGCTGACCCGTTTGCAGGGATAGACGCAGAGGAAGAGGGCGAGGAGGAGGAGGAGGTGAGTGAGAGTGAGTGGGGGTTGCCTCCCCCTACTACCGTCTTGTGCTCTCTATCTTCGCTGCTGACCCGTTTGCAGGGATAGACACGGAGGAAGAGGAGGGAGAGGACGAGGTGGGTGAGAGTGAGTGGGGGTTGGTGAGAAGTTGGCTTTGACACGTGCAGAAGGCTTTGACTTTAGCTGCTTCTCCCACGTGGAGGTTGGCATTTGGCATTCGGCATTTTGGGAGTTTTGTGAAAGTTATGAGAAAATTATCTAAACGGTTTTTTTGCCCAGCCGCCACTCTGCCACCCCTCCCTTATTGCTCCCACCCATCCCCCGCCAACAAACCAGCTCGCGCCACGTGGCATCAGCCAGGGTGAGCTGGCAGCCGTCTGGGACCTTCTCCGCCTCTGCTTTCTCCCCGACGAGACACCTGGCACTGCTGCCGACGTGGACAGTGGCATGGACATTTGCACGGGTGCTGACGTGGATAGTGGTGGGAGCGGAGTGAGAGGAGGTGACAGGGGGGGGGCAGCAGGAGGGAGGGGTGGTAGCGCCTACAGCACCTCTTCTGCATCCGCGTTCCCTCTCCTCTTGCCTCCTCCCTCCCCTGCTTCTTCCGCTCCCACCTGCCAGCCCCTCCTCTCCTGGCTCGCTGTGAGTCTGCTTCTCCTCTCGTCTCCTCTCTTCTCCTCTCCTCCCACTGCTCTTCACACACTTCTTTATCTGCCCCGTTTCACTGTTGCTTTCCACCCCCTTCCACAAGCTGGTCCCTTCCACCTCCTTCGTTCGCATCCCTCCCCCCTCGCAATCCAGCCGCGTCATCGTAGTGCCCTTCACTCGTCCCTCCTTCCCCTCTCATGTCTCTCGCCGTCTCCCCACCTCTCTCCCTCTCCTACCCCCCAGCAATACAACGCATCCCCCTCCCTCTCTCCCTCCCTCCCTCCCTCCCTCCCTCCCTCTCTCCCTCCCTCCCTCCCTCCCTCTCTCCCTCCCTCCCTCCCTCCTCCCTCCCTCCCTCCCTCCCTCCCTCCCTCCCTCCTCCTCCCTCCCTCCCTCCCTCCCTCCCTCCTCTCCCTCCCTCCTCTCCCTCCCTCCTCCCTCCCTCCCTCCCTCCCTCCCTCCCTCCCTCCCTCCCTCCCTCCCTCCCTCCCTCCCTCCCTCCCTCCCTCCCTCCCTCCCTCCCTCCCTCCCTCCTCCCTCCCTCCCTCCCTCCCTCCCTCCTCCCTCCCTCCCTCCCTCCCTCCCTCCCTCCCTCCTCCCTCCCTCCCTCCCTCCCTCCTCCTCCCTCCCTCCCTCCCTCCCTCCCTCCCTCCCTCCCTCCCTCCCTCCCTCCCTCCCTCCCTCCTCCCTCCCTCCCTCCCTCCTCCCTCCCTCCCTCCCTCTCCTCCTCCCTCCCTCTCTCCCTCCCTCCCTCCCTCTCTCCTCCTCCCTCCCTCTCTCCCTCCCTCCCTCCCTCCTCCCTCCCTCCTCCCTCCCTCCCTCTCTCCCTCTCTCCCTCCCTCTCCCTCCCTCCCTCCCTCCCTCCTCCCTCCCTCCCTCCCTCTCTCCCTCCCTCCTCCCTCCCTCCCTCCCTCCCTCCCTCCCTCCCTCCTCCCTCCCTCCCTCCCTCCCTCCCTCCCTCCCTCTCTCCCTCCCTCTCTCCCTCCCTCCCTCCCTCCCTCCCTCCCTCCCTCCCTCCTCCCTCTCCCTCCCTCCCTCCCTCCCTCCCTCCCTCCCTCCCTCCCTCCCTCCCTCCCTCCTCCCTCCCTCCCTCCCTCCCTCCCTCCTCCCTCCCTCCCTCCCTCCCTCCCTCCCTCCCTCCCTCCCTCCCTCCCTCTCCTCCCTCCCTCCCTCCCTCCTCCCTCCCCTCCCTCCCTCCCTCCCTCCCTCCCTCCCTCCCTCCCTCCCTCCCTCCCTCCCTCCTCCTCTCCTCCCTCCCTCCCTCCCTCTCTCCCTCCCTCCCTCCCTCCCTCCCTCCCTCCCTCCCTCCCTTCCCTCCCTCCCTCCCTCCCTCCCTCCCTCCTCCCTCCCTCCCTCCCTCCCTCCCTCCCTCCCTCCCTCCCTCCCTCTCCTCCCTCCCTCCCTCCCTCCCTCCCTCCCTCCCTCCCTCCCTCCCTCCCTCCCTCCCTCCCTCCCTCCTCCCTCCCTCCCTCCCTCCCTCCCTCCCTCCCTCCTCCTCCCTCCCTCCCTCCCTCCCTCCCTCCCTCCCTCCCTCCCTCCCTCCCTCCCTCCCTCCCTCCCTCCCTCCCTCCCTCCCTCCTCCCTCCCTCCCTCCCTCCCTCCCTCCCTCCCTCCCTCCCTCCCTCCCTCCCTCCCTCCCTCCCTCCCTCCCTCCCTCCCTCCCTCCTCCCTCCCTCCCTCCCTCCCTCCTCCCTCCCTCCCTCCCTCCCTCCCTCCCTCCCTCCCTCCCTCCCTCCCTCCCTCCTCCCTCCCTCCCTCCCTCCCTCCCTCCCTCCCTCCCTCCCTCCCTCCCTCCCTCCTCCCTCCCTCCCTCCCTCCCTCCCTCCCTCCCTCCCTCCCTCCCTCTCTCCCTCCCTCTCCTCCCTCCCTCCCTCCCTCTCTCCCTCCCTCCCTCCCTCCCTCCCTCCCTCCTCCCTCCCTCCCTCTCTCCCTCCCTCCCTCCCTCCTCTCCCTCCCTCCCTCCCTCCCTCCCTCCTCCCTCCCTCCCTCCCTCCCTCCCTCCCTCCCTCCTCCCTCCCTCCCTCCCTCCCTCCTCCCTCCCTCCCTCCCTCCCTCCCTCCCTCCCTCCCTCCCTCCCTCCCTCCCTCCCTCCTCCCTCCCTCCCTCCCTCCCTCCCTCCCTCCCTCCTCCCTCCCTCCCTCCCTCCCTCCCTCCCTCCCCCTCCCTCCCTCCCTCCCTCCTCCCTCCCTCCCTCCCTCCCTCCCTCCCCTCCTCCCTCCCTCCCTCCCCCTCCCTCCCTCCCTCTCCCTCCCTCCCTCTCTCCCTCCCTCCCTCCCCTCCCTCCCTCCCTCCCTCCCTCCCTCCCTCCCTCTCTCCCTCCCTCCCTCCCTCCCTCCCTCCCTCCCTCCCTCCCTCCCTCCCTCCCTCCCTCCCTCCCCCTCCCTCCCTCCCTCCCTCCCTCCCTCCCTCCCTTCCTCCCTCCCTCCCTCCCTCCCTCCCTCCCTCCCTCCCTCCTTCCTTGCAATGCGCCCTCTTCAAAGTCCCTCATTCTTCCGTATTCTTCTCCTTTTCCCGTTGAATTGGTTTTTGAAAATTCTCAAAAACCAAGTCCGCCCACGTCAAATTCCCTCACTCCTCCGTATCTCCTCCTTTCCCCCGTCCCCCCTCCTCCCCTCCCTGCCCTCTCCTACTTTTGACTTTTGAGTCATCTCAAAAGACGACTTTTGAGGCGCTTATTTTTTTTTAACTTGTGAGTCGTCTCAAAAGCCACTCCTCCCCTCCCCGCCCTCTCCTACTTTGAGGCGCCTCTCCTCCTTTCCCCCGTAAAAAATAGACTCCTCACACATGGTTCACTCCTCCCCTCCCCGCCCTCTCCTACCCCCCAGCAATACAACGCATCCCTCCCACCTCTGAATGCATCCACGTCAGCATGCCTTAGATCCTTGCGGGATCAGATGAGCCAATCAGAGGTGAGCCAGCAGAGTTTCGAGGGTTTGTTGTGTACTGATTGAGCAGTGTTCGTTTGCAGGCAGCAGTTGATAAAATAAAGACAAAGACTTACTGAAGTGGAAACAGGATGATAAGATTTTTTCCCCCCCTTTTTCTTTCTCGAAATTATGGGTTTCGATATAATGGGATGCACAAAATGGCCGAATGATTCCCCTTTCTTTCTAGAAGCTCAATCATGCATCTCTGATTCTTATATATATATATTTTCTTCTTCTTTCCCTCTTGAATCAAAATGATGATGGGCAACTGTCCATTGTTCCTCCGCGCCATTCTCTCCATCCCTCTCCTCTTCCCTTCTTTGCTTTCCCCCCTTTCCTCCTCTCCCCCCTCCTCTCTCTTCTCCTCTCACTTCTCCTCTCCCTTCTCCTCTCCCTTGTAACATCAGGCCATACCTCCAGAGGATCTTGAACCCTATTGGCCGGCGGTGGCTTCCTGCGCTGCGATTGGCTGGAGAGACACTGCTGTAGGTTGCCTTTTGCTTCGTACCCTGTCTCTCTGATTTCTCTTATTTTCTGCATCATTCCTTTGTTTTCTTTGAGAAAAGTGCACTTGTCTTACGAACACGAAATAAATAAATCAATATTCAACACATGCTAAGACTCCCGGAGGGTAGTGAAACAAGAAACTCCCCCCTGCCCACCCCATTCTCACCCCCTGCCCACCCCATGCTCACCCCCAAGTGAGACAGAGAACGGGTTGGTCAAAGCGGTGGCGGCGCTGCCTGCAACCTCCCCTCTCACCCAACTGCTCCTCTGCTTCCCCCCCCCTCCCTGCAGACCTCCTTCCTGCGCTTCCACTCATCCTTCCGTGAAGACCAAGTGATACAGAGGAAGACGGAGAACAGGTTGGTCAAAGCGGTGGCGGTTGCTGCCCTCACTAATACCAATCCTGCTCTCCCTCCCCTTCTGCACCCCTTCCCCACCCCCTGCCCGTTTTCCCAGACCCCCCTGCTTCGCATACATTCATCCTACTGTGAGGACCAGGTGACTCTGAGGGTTTCCGAGAACGGGCTGGTGGAAGCAGTAGCGGTGCTGCAGCTGATTCCCTCACCTCCATTCCCGCTGTCATCCCACTGCCCTCCCTGTTGCCAGACCGCCCTGCTGCGCATGCATTCGTCCTACCGTGAGGATCAAGTGATTCAGAGGGAGGCGGAGAATGGGCTGGTGGAGGCCGTGGCGGTACTGCTCTCGGAAATGCCCATGCCTCTTGAGCCAATGGCGGCGCGGGACGCTGCTGAGGTGGCGGCGTATCACAGGGTGAGCGCTGAGTCAGCATGTCAAAAGAGCGGTTGAATGGCTTGCTGCTGTGCACTCAGCATCATATTTGGAATGCAGATAGATGAGAAGACTTTTTTGAGTCGTCTCAAAAGCGAGTAGAAGTTTCGGCATATTCAACCACCCACCGCAGGTTTCACTCTCTTTTTCTAAATAAAAATTTCTATAGTCAATCGAAAATCCTAAGCCTGAAGTCTTCTTAGCCTTCAAATTCTCCCCGTATGGGGCCAGCATGAGTTGAGTTCATCCTGAAGTCCTCCATGCCTTCAGCAAAAAACCCTTAACCCCGATCCCCCACAGAGTCGGGGCCATTGAAGGGATAGCCTATCTCGCCTAAGAGCGAGCCCGTTCTGGGTGGCAGCAGATGCACCAGCCACTGAAAGAGGGCTGCTCGCCCTGCTGGACCTTAAAGCCCGAAACCCCACATGCTGCACTGCACCTATCCGCTGCTCATGTTCTGTTTTGTGCCCCTTGCAGCATCAGGCAGCAGAAGCACCCGCCACAGAGAGGGAGCTGCGCGCCCTGCTGGACCTTAAAGCCCCAAACCCCACCCCACTCCCAATCTTAAAACCCCAAACCCAACTCAGCATCGCGACCACTGGAGGAACCGTCTAGCCAGACTTAAGGCGAGCCCGTTTGGGGCGCCAGCAGATGCACTGGTGACGGCGAGGGGGCTGCTCGCCCTGCTAGATCTTATAGTTCCAAACCCCAAACCCCACCTCGCACCCCATGCCACACCCCCTGCATCCGCTGCTCATGTTTTGAAGAAACCCCACCCCAATCTCCTACCAATCTTAAAACCCCAAACTAGACATGGGCAGATTAAATCGCATCGCATCGCGTCTAATCGCGTTTTTGCGATGGCGATTTAAAAAAATAAAATAAAAAAATCGCGTGATTTTATTCAAATCGCGTTTTAATCACGATGAAAATCGCGATTAAATTGTGATTTGCGTTTTTTTTTTAAATCGTGCGCGATCTTCCTGTGGTCGAAATTCAATCGGTGTTGCTTTTTTTCCGGAATTCTGAGGTGTGTTTTTTTAATTATTATTATTTGTTTTTTTTTTAAGTAAAATGCGATGCGATTTAAATAAACATCGCATGCGGTTTAAATAACCATCGCGCAGAAAATGCGATGTGCGATTTTTTTTTTTCAAAAAAAAAATCGCGCGATGCAATATTAAATCGCATCGCTTTTTTTTTTTTTTTTTTTTTATCTCGCCCCTGTGCGATGTGATTTAAATCGCAATCGCATTTTGATCATGTCTACCCCAAACCAAACCCCACCCAGCATCGCGATCACTGGAGAAACCGCCTAGCACGGCTCAAGGCGACCCCGTTTTGGGCGGCAGCGGATGCACCGGCCACAGAGAGGGGGCTGCTCGCCCTGCTGGACCTGCTGCTGGGGAGCTCCCATGCCGTGGATGACGTGGCGCGCTCCCATTGGCTGGAGCTGCTGGCGGCGCGGCTGCTGCACCAGAACCCTCAAGCGGTGAGTGGCGCATCGCAAGGGTGAGGTGAGGGGGCAGCTGGAGCAAACGGTAGGAGGTGAGGGGGCAGCTGGAGCAAACTTTTGAGTGGACTTAAAAGCTAGCTCGGTGAGTGGCGCATCGCAAGGGTGATGGTGAGGCAGATGACCCTCCTTGAGCTGTATGGGGAGATGTTGACCTGTGGCTCCAAATGACCCCGCTTGACAGCTCATTTGGAGCGACGGGTTGTGCATTACGAGCATGTCAGGGGGTGCAAGGGTATGAAGGAATGATCTTATGGGAGGACTTGAAGCGATGGGTCTAGGCCCTTCTTGATCCCATGGCCGCGATGGGAAGGGCTTCAGTGCTTGATGCCTCCAAGGCCTTATCACCACTCTCCCCCGCTTGGCTCCCCTCGCCTTAGCCCCTGCTGCTGATTTTGCCTCTCCCCCTCCATTTCTCCTGTGCTCCTTTCTCGCCCGCCGTTACTGCCCTTCGTTCCATTCCCCCGCTTCCCCATGCAACAGACAGCATCAGCACAGGCGTCCCTCGCGCTGCAGCACTGCTGGCCAGATGACTTTTGAGTCGACTCAAAGGTCTTTCCCCGGCGTTACTCCCCTTCACTCTTCCCCCTCGTCCCTGTGCAGCACACAGCAGCAGCACAGGCGCCCCTCACGCTGCACTGCTGAAAGGGTACTGACAGCACAAACCGTAGCAAGAGCAGGAGCAAGGGCTCATCTCCCTTCACCTCCTGTTCCCCTCTTCCCCCCTCCCCCTCTTGCCACCAGACAGCATCAGTGCAGGGTAGGATGATCTCCCTTACCTCCCACTCTGCTCTTCCCCCCCTTCCCTGGTATCAGACAGCATCAGCACAGGCGTCCCTCGCGCTGCACTGCTGGCGGGAAGCAGCAGGCAGCAGTGGGAAGGCCACGGGCTCGTCCCATCCGTTGGATGCCTCGGACCTCGTCCAACCATCGTTGGATCGGCTCCTGCTCGCGTCCTTGTGCCGTGAGACAGAGGTGGGGAAAGGAGGCTGAGTGGAAGTAACTTCCTTTTCCTCATGGAAGGAAAGGACTTGACAGATCACTGCAAATACTGCAATTTGACAGAACTAGATGGAGTAGCAGTGACAGTTGATTGGATCCTGATAACTTTTTTATTAAGGGGTGGCGAGCCCCCAACATCCCCCGTCATGCCTTATACTCGATATAAGGATCAACCTTGTCCTTTCTTCTTTATTGCCTGTGCTCGCATTTGTCCTCGGCTGTCAAAAATTCTCTTTCATCATCCCCTTCCTTCCTTCCTTCCTTTTCCTGTTGCCACGGACTCGGGATGGCATGGCGTGGGATGCTCTCGTATGGCTTCTGCGGTGCGATATACTGCATTGCTTGGTGCCACGGCATGGCATGGCATGGCATGGCCCTCTGTGGAGCAGGTTGTGGTGTCGATAGCATCTCGAATCCTCCCTCCCTGGTATGTCCCCCTCTCGCCACCTTCTTTACTTCCACCTACCCTTTTCTCTTCCAGGACTTGGTCATGAAGAGGTTTAAAAAACCAGCCCTCCCGCCACCTTCTTCACATCTACCCTTTTCTCTTCCAGAACGTCCTCCTCTGGTCCTCCTCCCAGCATTCCCCCCCACTCCCCCGCGTGACACTCCCCATCTCTGTGACTCACGTCCCTCCCTCATCCCCCACCCCACGCTTCAGGTTCTTAGTCCAAGTGATCGAGCTCCTCTCGCTCCACTCGCCGTCCCTCTCTGCACTACCTGCCAAACAAGCTGCCGCAGCTGCAGCCCGAAACGCTGCCTCTGCCGCCCACGTGCCGTCCGCAGCGGACGCTGCTGACATCAACAGCCTGTCTGTTTTGGATCTCTGTCGGGTGAATTACGCCATGGACCTCCTGTCAGAGGCTGCCACGTGGCAGGTGGGATGCCTGGATACTTTCGATAAAATTCTCCCTGATTTCGTAATACTGAAAGTACCATCCATTCTGGTTGAATTCTTGATTGTATGAGATCTCTCACAATCTTAGTACATCTAATAATCAATCTTTTTTCTCTCTGAATGTCAGCACTGTGTTTAGTTGTTTGCTACTTACCAGAAGCTGGATGCCACATTTTTTCAGTTTGTTCAACCAATCTTTCCCATCTTTTTTGTAGATTGACTAACTTTCTTTGTAAATTTAAATTCATCAGCATTCTTTGAATGCCATATCCTCCAGTAATAATTTCTCTACTTTCACAGTCACGGTACTTATGTGTGTGTGAAGAGAGCCCTGATTGGTCTCTCGCTCCCCCGCTTCTCTCTCCCTCCCCACCCCTCCCCTTCTCTCTCCCCCCCTCGCCCTCCCTCGCCTACCTCTCCTCGTGGGCACCAGCAGAGGCCTTCACGGATCAAGTGCTTCTAATCTAATCCACTCCACTCAACCCTTCATCATCTTCTTCCTCCCTCCCCCTCCAGTCCTCTTTCTCTCCCCCCAGCTCGCCCTCCCCTACCTCTCCCCCTGCCCACCAGCAGAGCCCTTCATAGCAAGTGCTGCTAACACAGTCTCACTTCAAAGTAACCCTCTACACCTCCTTTCCTCCTTCCTGCCCCTTTCACTCCCCCCCAACCCCCCCGGCCCTTCCCTTCAGCTCTCCCTCCCCTACCTCGCCCCGTGCCCACCAGCAGAGCCCTTCATAGAGCTTGCTGCTAGCGCAGCCGGTCGCATTGCCAAGCCCTTTTCATCTTCTGTCGTCCTATCTCCCTCCCCCCCAACCCCCCCCCCCCCCCCCCCCCCCAATTCTCCCCTTCCCCAGCTCGCCCTTCCCTACCTCTCCCCCTGCCCACCAGCAGAGCCCTTCATAGAGCAAGTGCTCCTGTCGCAACCTGTCACAGCCAGCACCCACAGCAGCATCTCCAAGGCCCTCTTCCTGGTGGAGACGTACGCCCCTGCCTGCTACCCCTCTGCTGCTGCCTTCTTCTCCCGGGTAATGTGGACACACATGTTGGGATCCCATCCCATCCACTCACCCCTTCCCCATTGTTTCACATTGCTTTTCTGCTGCTTTGTCGTCTCCATTTCTTCCCTCGCTCCTCCCTCTCCGCCCCCCCCCTTCCCATTCTGCTGCTTTGGCATGCTGGGATGCTTGAAACATTGCCACAACTCACACCTTTTCTTTCCCCCTCCTCATCCCCCCTCTTCCCCTCTTCCCCCTTTCTCCTTCCCCCTTTTTCCTTCCCCCTTCCCCCCTTCCCCCCCCCCCCCCCCAGTCTGCCGCGATGGCGTGTTGGGACTCACGAAGCGTCGTCACATCGCGCCACGTGGCGAGCGTCTATTGGATGGCAGCGGCCGGGCCTCCAGCATCAGCACCTATGGACGCCCTTGTCCTTTTCCTTGCGGACGAGCTGCTGGTGCCGGCCATCAGGGGGAGGTGGCATCTGGTGCGGGGCGCACCTGGTCCAGGCACAGGAGCAGACCAACAGGGCTCTGCTGCTAACTTTTCTGCAGCAGCAGCAGCAGTGCTTGATGCTCTGAGCAGCAGCAGTGGGTCAACAGGCCAGAGTCACCCATCTCTGGAGTACATGCTCTCGTGAGTGTGGCGGGTTTTCATGTGAGCGGTACACATAGTAATACACAGCTTCTCCCACCCCCTTTCCACCCAGTTCTTTCTCAACCGCCCTTTCCCTTTGACCCCCTCATAGCATCTTGGAGCTAGGCAAGCAACCCACAGGCCCTTTCCCTTTTCTCACAGGCTCCTTGACAACCAAGCTTCGCTCTTCCATGTACACCCCCCACCTTCCCTCTTCCCCTTTCCCTTCCCTACCCCCGCCCCCCGCCCCTCCCCCCCCCTCCCCCCGGTCTACCCACGGGAAACCACCCTCTCTCCTTGACCCTGTTTCAGCATCTGGGAGCTCGTGAAGCAGCTCACAGGTGCTCCTGACACCCGAGCTTCTCCCTTCTTTCCTGCTGCCCCTGCTCCTGAGCCAATCCAAAGGAGCCACCTGGCAGACCGTCTGGTTCAGGTGTGTGCTCAGTCAGATCAAACACTACCGTGTGCTCGAACTGACAGTGCGGTGCAGTGCGGCTCTGCTGTTTGCTTTGCTTTGAACTGACAGTTCCACTAGTAGCACCCGAAACAAATGAGTTGCATCCTTTGGCATTCTGGCCTTCCTTTGCTTTTGTGTAAGATCCTTTTTTTTCCCATCACTCTTGATGCTTCAAACCCGTGTCTCCCTTGCCTGCTGCATGTCCCGTTACCCTTCTTCCATCACTCACAGGCATTGCTGCACACATCGTCGCACTACCCTCGTGTTTTCCTTGCCCTCTCTCATCTCCTGGTAAGCAACACCAGCTACTGACTGTTTCTAACGCAATCCCAATTGCTGATGCCTCCTCACTGCAGCTTCTGCAGCTTCCATCTCATTGGTGGGAGGCTCACGCACTCGAGAGGCCATTTAAAGCCGCAGTACACATTTAACAAAATTTCGATTAAGTGATAAACATTTGGAAGAGGTTACTGAGTTGTTTCTTCCTCTGAAGTTGTGATCTCGCCAGCCTTTGAACGAGCGAGATGTGGCAATTGTGTACTGAAATTCCTTCCCACAACCACGCAGGGGAGTTTTGCCCTGTCACGCCCTTCTGATCCCCCCCCCCCCCCTCTTCCGTGATTTCGTTCCCGCCACCCCACGCTATTCCGACTCTTTCCCCACAGCTCCATTCCCCCTCCTCCCCTCACAATTCCGAATCTTTTCCTCCAAGTCAAATTCGTTTCCCCCAGCCCTCCCAATTTCAGACTCCCCCCCCCACGCAATTCCGTTTCCCCCTAACCCTCGGAATTCTCACCCCCAACCTACGCAATTCCGTTTCCCCCCCATTCCAACTCCCTCCCCCCGACGCAATTCTGGTTCCCCCCAACCCTCGCAAGTCTATTTCCCCCCCACGCAATTTTGTTCCCACGTTTACGAAAGTTCCTCCCATTTCGCATCAGTTTCTTCCTCTCGCCTCTCGCCCTCCAATCATCTAAGCCCCCTTTTCTTGACCACCGCATTGCCACCCCAAGCCGCGTTGAATGTGTACCGCGGCTTTAAAGAAGCCCATATTGCTGCCCTCATCAGCTGCTTTCAGGCGCCTCCCTCTCAACGTCATCTGTTAACCTCCATCCCATGTCATCCCATTGGTGGCAGGCTCACGCACTTGCGAGGCGGTCTCTGCCATTCAAAGAAGCCCACCCTCATCAGCTGCTTGCAGCAGCTCCCCTCTTAACGTCTTCTGCCATCTTCCACCCCATATCATCCCATTGGTGGCAGGCTCATGCTTTTGAGAGGCAGTCTCTGCCCTTCAAAGAAGTCCACGTTTCAGCCCTCATCAGCTGTTTCAGGCGCCTCCCTCCCAACGTCTTCTGCTATCTTCCATCCAATGTCATCCCATTGGTGGCAGGCTCATGCTCTCGAGAGGCGATCTCTGCCCTTCAAAGAAGCCCACATTTCAGCCCTCATCAGCTGCTTGCAGCAGCTCTGCTCAGACACACTCTCACAAGAACACTACGTTCTGAAAAAGGCTCGTGGTTCGGCCGACACAGGCAGTGAAGGCTTGGAAGGGGTAGCTCTGTGGGATCACTTAGACACCCTCAAGCTGGCACTGGCCAAGGAGCTGAGTGCCAAGATCCTTTTTCTGTGACTCGCCCCCGTGTCCCCTGCATGAAATGTGACTTTCCGAATGAGAACAACTGCAAAAGGATGCAACCGGCTGATTGTACTCTAAAATGCTTCATATTTTAGACAATTTAACACTAGGGTGTCCCCTCCCAACTAAACGTACACGAATGTTTTCCCATCCCAGGACTTGTTGTACAGTACCATACATTTATTGTACCAGGTTGTAAATCAGGTACAGGACTAGTATCCAGACAAAAACTACAAGCTAAAAGGTCCAATAGGGGTACAACCCTCTTTTCAACTGTAAGAACCCAGTGACACAATCCCCTTCTACCCGAGGCAGCAGGCAGCAAGCACAGCCTATCTAACCAAAACCAGTGTAGAGAAAGAATTCTGCTACTCTTTCCGTCGGACAATCCTCGAATCATCCTTGCGAATACCCATCGCCTTCTGTGCGTTCTTGATGCCTTTTGGATCTGCAAAAGGGTTGATGAACCGCAAAAGAGGCAAACAAAACAGCATATGAACAATTTCGCAAGTAAGGGGCTTGGAGCCAGGAAAATGCGCAAATAAACTCAACAAAACGGTCGCTTACCAACAAACTGTGTGAAGATGCTTGTGAAAAAACCGAAGCTTCGTGCAATTGACTGAGCCACTGGAGCTGGTAAGGGCCTGAGGAATGTGTCCAGGCTGAACACACGACGGAAGAACTGCACAACGGGCGAGATAATTGAAGAAGGGAAACAGGGAAAACCAGAAGCGGTAGAAGGGGGTCAGGAGTTGCAGCGGCGACAGTAAGATAAACATTGAAGTGTCAGATAGCTAGATGAAGAAAGAGATGTCAAAGTAGTGTTGGTAGGGGGTCGAAAGGGTACATAATTAGGTCGGTGGCGAGCAGGACGGGAGGGGGAGAGAGGGAGAGGCACGGGAGGAAGAAGGGGAAGTAAGGGCGGGGAGAGGATGAGCGGAAGGAAGTGACGAAGGAGGAAAGGGGCGGGGAGGGTGGGGTGGGGTGGGGGGGGGGGGGGGGGAGAGGGGGGGAAGAGGGGATTGAGGGAGTAGAGGGTTTTATGGAGCAAAGAGGGAGCAAGAAAGGAGGGAAAAAAATGAAGAAAACACGATAAAACCGAAGACACTTACATTAAAACAATCCACAGGACGTCGTTCGAACAGGGGACAGGGGACAGGAGGCATGCTTGAACGAGAGTGTAACTGCATGCTACAAGAGAGGTTCAAGTTTTGGTAATTCGTAGTACTCTTTATTGTGGTGGTTTAGTTGAGAATATGGCATCTCAAAATAAGGCGGCACCTGCTTCGACTCCTGCTTGCACATGACGGCCTAGTACCCGGGCGCGAAAACATTAGGCACAATGCGTTTACGTACCATCATGTTGCGTTGGAAAGCAGCAACAAGCTCTGGGTCGAACTCGAACATAGCGTTATCCTGAGGCGATGCTCGTCTTCTTGTCAGCGCACCAGAAGACGGAGCCATGACAGCTCCCGACTGCTCAACAGAATTGTACCACCAAAGAAACGTAACTTGTAAATAAGGCCCGAGACGCCTAGGAACGATCCGTTGCACATGCGAACTTTAAGCATCTAAGCTGACAGTGTGCTAAGCAAAAACCGCCGAGGCTGCTCGCCTAGGCAGCACTACGCCAGGTTAAGGAAATTGGCAGCATTCTTTAGGAAGAGAGCATGAGAGCAACTAAAATACCTTTGGCGATGCGGAAGCGCGAACACCGAGCCCAGCAAGAGGATTGTCCTCTTCTGCGTGTCGTGGCTTCCTATCAAACGGCGAGGCTGCTGGACGAGGCATGGCTGCGACGAAAGTGCGCGCTGATGAGGCTAATCAACCGCGGCAAAGATTCGACCACTGCAAGTTTGCTTGTCCCTAGTAAGCGCAACTTCCCTGCTAAATTGATCAAAGCTCGTACTGACAAGGAAAGTGGAGCTCCCTCCCAAAGCCTTTGCTCTGTACATTTGGATGCTTGGGTTGGGCTGGGTGGAGTATGGTTGGCTGGAAGGGGAACGAGACAACTTCACATTTGGATGAGGGAGTTGGTGGCAGGGGGAAACGGGTGGCCCAGATTGGCTAAGAAATTGTCGAGTTACAAGTCGATGACGTGGCAACGGAGCTAATGTCGAGGTTTTGTGTACCTTTTATATCGCAGCTGGATTCATGTAATGCTGTTTATATCTATTAGTTGTATGATGTGACACAATTGAACCGAACCAAACCCAACTGCTACGAAACTGCGCCTCGCCCAACGCCGAAGGAGGCCCTCGGCTGACAGAGCGAGCGGCGTACAGTAACTGGAGTCGCCAGAACGGCAGTAGCTCGTGGGTCCTGATCACAATCACGACAAACTAATCAGTTTCAGCAGCTTACAAGATTGAACTTCTTCTGTCGGAACCTAGTAGGAGTTTCCAACCATGGAGGAGTCTCCTGATGTCGTCGTCGCTCCGGCTAGGAGACCTAGCGACCATGGGCTGCGTAATCGGCTTAGCAGTACCACCGATAGACAGGTACTACAAGCAGGCATCAGCAATACGTTTCGCCTTTCTTCGGTCATGTGAACATTCCTACCTAACATTAGTCTTTCTCAGGAACAAGGCACGGTCCCTGGAACCTCTGTGTCGGAGCATCCCCCACCTGAGTAAGCATTCAATCGTTATGGCCCATCTCGAGACTGTTTGTGACGAATCTGACACGTGCTCGTCGACAGGCGAAATGTCGACACCGACTTGAAACGGAGTCAGTCCGTGGCTGTTGGAGCATACCATGTCCAAGAGCCGGACGCTTCTCCTGTTGGTATTCGGAAGTACGGAAGCGGATCGTTCTTGGGTGGGCTTACCGGTAAGTCTCGTCCAGGCAGCTTCACACCTCAATGAACTTACATTGAGGAATGACGTACAACCTGCTATCCATCAGGAACGCTTCCGGAAAGCTCCATAAGGACATCCTTAAGCCGATCAAGGGGAGCTTCATTGGCGATAAGCCGGGATGCGGTAAGTGTTTGTATTAGGAGTGGTTTGGAATTGTTTTCATTGCTTTTCGTTCTATCCATGATTACCTTGGCATCATCGCAGGAAAGGGAGGCAAGAGCGGCGTCAGTTTTCCCTGAAGAGAAACTTGGGAATCTGGCACCAATTAAAGTGGTAAGACAATGCGGTCAAGTTCACGTGTTCTTCTAGAATCGCATATGCTAATGATGCTCTGTGCAGGAAAGGAGCAACAGTGCAGTGGGTACTCACACACAAGGGCTGCTCTGCTCCTTGGCTCATGGAGACAAAAACTTGAATGGCATTCGAAGCGTTACTCGTTTGATGGTAAGCTGGCTGTTATTTTTCACGTTCTCAGGAGCTTCGCACTAAACAACTGTGCAGAACACAGGCCCTCAGACCAAGCAAGCAGTCTGCAACATGTGTGGTGATGCCTTGCCATCGGATGAAGAATACGCACCATGCGAGTGTGCTTTCAGGATGTGCACCATCTGCTTGGATCATGTGCACAAGTATGAACGAAACCGTTGCCCAGGCTGTGGAGGAGACCTTCGCAGCCGAGAACAATGTATGCAACGAGTTGAAGCCGTACTTTCTGCAGATTAAGCATGGTAAACGTTCTAATGTTTGCGTATCTTCATCTTCAGGGACCATTATGCAAGCAATGCTCAATGAAACACCTCGGGGTAGCACTTCCTCTCCTTCGCGTCTCGCAAGGACAGCATCAAAGCAGCTGCAGAGCATAACGGAGATTGAACAATCAGGACCACAGGTATGCTTGAGCCCTTCAAGTCACATGTGTGCTACTCAATATGTGTTTCTTAGTCATAAGAGAATTATTAAGGTATTTTTTTGCTCTACAGTTACACGGAGAAAAAGGTATTGTACCTCTTCAGCAAGATAGCGCCATCATTCAAACCAGTCAGCCCCAGTATGGGTATGGCAGTGTCGCTTGGCAGCAGCCACCAACTAAGGCACCTGAACGGGCTGTCCCCATGTAAGTCTTCTGTGCCAGATTCCAGGGTAAGAATTACAGCACGTACGCCCTAATCCCGATCTTCTGTAACCATTTTCAGAGCTGACTGGAAGAAGAAGAGCTTGGCGAGAAAGTTGAGCTACCCTGGCAGCATTATTGGGCCCTACAGGTCTGTTCGTCAAGCAAGAATCTGCTTTTTATGTTTTAAATACCTTTTGACTGACCGTAAGTGGAAAATCATGCAGGATTGTTCTGTTCATTCGCCTTTGTTCAATCCTGGGATTTCTTCAGTATCGGGTTGCCAACCCCACAGAGACAGGATATTGGCTCTGGCTGATGTCTGTCGTTTGCGAGATATGGTGCGAACCGTGTGATTTTTGTAACATTCGTGCCAAATGTAGTGTACTTATTTGTCTGTTCATACTTTCAGGTTTGCTGTTTCTTGGGTCCTTGACACACTCCCGAAGTTGACCCCAGTCAAGAGAGAGACGTACAAAGATAGACTGAAAGCTGTGTAAGAGCAATTTAAAGTTACATACTTTTCAGTGCATGACGACTGTGAAGACGTTCTGACCTGCCTACGTTGCAGGTATGATGACGGAGGCGAAACGCTCCCGCAGTTGGATGTTTTTATCACGACTGCTGATGCTACGAAGGAGCCACCTCTGGTCACAGCAAACACGATACTTTCTGTTTTGGCGACCAACTATCCACCTGACAGGCAAGTTTCTACTACGCAAACCAGTTTGTGGGTGTTTCAGTGTGTTAACAATCTTTGTTCTGCTCTTGAGCAGAATTGCGTGCTACCTGTCTGATGATGGGGCGTCCAAGCTGATGTTTGATGCCATGGCCGAGACTGCTGGCTTTGCACGACTTTGGGTTCCTTTTTGCAAGAAACATAACATCGAACCAAGGTCCCCAGATGCTTACTTCAGCCAGAACGTGGACTTTCTGAAAAACAAAGTGCATCCTGATTTTGTGAAGACTCGACGCAAGGTCAAGGTATGAGATGCTCAATCAAGAACCATAATAGTACCTTCATTGTTTGCTCATCTTATGCAACCAATGCAGAGAGAATATGAAGAGTTTAAAGTTCGCATGAATGCATTGGTTGCTGAGAGCCGTTTTCCACCGGAGGAAGGCTGGATGCTGGAGGATGGAACCCCGTGGCCGGGCAACAATAGGCGCGATCACGATGGGATTATTCAGGTAAGAAGAGAATGTTCTTATTCCCACCCCCTCTCAAGATACCTGCTGTTTAAGTTAAGTGGTCTTCTAACGAACCTACTTTACACCAGGTATTTCTACACCCTGATGGAGACGTTCGTGATTTTGAGGGAGGTGTCCTTCCACCCCTCATCTACGTTTCACGAGAGAAGAGGCCTGGGCATGATCACAACAAGAAAGCTGGAGCAATGAACGCTCTATTGAGAGCCAGTGGGTTGATTACTAACGGCGCTGTGCTGATGAACTTGGACTGCGATCACTACGTCAACAATGCTGATGCGATTCGTGACGTATGTTGTGAATTATGCTGAGCTGCTGTCTTTCATTCAAGGAAACTGATGTACTTTTGCGTTATGCAGGCTCTTTGCTTCTTCTTGGATCCCATTCAAGGCTACACTACCGGATTTGTGCAGTTTCCCCAGCGTTTTGATGGAATTGACAGGAATGACCGTTATGCAAATCACAACACTGTGTTCTTTGACATCAACATGAAAGGTCTCGATGGCCAGCAGGGGCCTGTATATGTTGGAACTGGATGTTTCTTCCGTCGCCGTGTAAGGAACCTTTTTGCTAATAATTTCCTTCGTTTCTGCTGTCTCTGCTCGGAGATAACAGTGGCAATGCTCTGTGTCTTTCAGGCCCTCTACGGTTATTTCCCCCCTCCTAATCCAAGTAAGCTTGGCATCTCAAAAAAGGCCAAGAATGGTCTGTGGAACTACCTGTGCTGCTGCTGCCTTCCCCGGAAGACAAAGGAAGAACCTAATTCAGAGTCACTGGATGGACATGAATCAAACGATCAGGGTATGCCAACTTCTGTTTTTTTTCTTAAATGGTATCTGTTGCATGTCTCCTTCCAAACTTATGACACGTTCTTCACTATTTGATTCGCAGATTCCGTTCAACTGGTGAAGAAGCCAAAGATTCCAGCACGATTGGGTGCGTGTGCCCATTTCGTCAGCACAGCAACGGGCGATGAGAACATGTCTGGCGATGTCGAGGAGCAACCTCTGAGCCCAAGGTCTATGCTGAGTGATGTAGTTCTTACCATCAGCTGTGACTATGAGGCCAACACAGACTGGGGCAAGGATGTGGGATGGATGTATGGCTCCGTAACAGAGGACATTCTAACCGGGATGAAGATTCACACACGTGGATGGCGTTCTGCATATTGTGATCCAGACCGTGCTGCATTCAAGGGATCAGCTCCTTTGAACATGACAGACCGTCTGCACCAAGTTGAGAGATGGGCAACAGGTGCTGTGGAGATATTCTTCAGTGGAAGAAACCCATTATGGTCTCAGTGGGGCACTAAGTTAAAACTCCGCCAACGAATAGCGTGAGTGGTTGCAAGTCTGAAACCTTGTTTGTCCATAAGATGTTCTGTTTTCTTGGCTCACGTGCTCTTGTTTCGGATGAACAGGTATGCGAACAACGCGTTCTATCCGTTTACAAGTGTGGCAATCTTTGCATACTGTCTCCTGCCACCCCTTGCACTGCTTACGGACTTCTTCTTTGTTCCAACGGTGAGACCTTGGTTTTCAAAGGCATGGGCTGCTCTGGCCGCTGATGACAGTGTTCATCTGATGGTTCTAGCTTGTTTTTTTCTCTGTTCTTGACATGCTCGTTCCCTTATTTTTTGCAGCTGGATCGTTACGCAGTCATCTGGTTTGCTGTGCTTATCCTCTCGTTCCTGGCGTCCTCTGTGCTGGAGCTGAAATGGAGCAAAGTGTCTTTTGAAGCATGGTGGAGGAACGAACAGTTTTGGCTCATTGCAGGAATAAGTTCCCACTTTGCAGCCGTTGTGCAGGTAAGCAAGCAATCATGCAGCGTGTCTTATCGACTCTTTGCATTTGCCAGTAGCTCGTGGCTTGACCATTTGCTAATGGTTCCTTGTGCCTGTCTCTCTCAAAACCCGTTGTCCCTATGCACACAGGGTTTGCTAAAAGTTATTGCTGGATTGGAGATCAGTTTCACGTTAACTTCAAAAGGTGGAGATGACGGAGATGTGGATGAGCTACACACTTTCAAATTCTCGTGGCTGCTCCTTCCTGGGTGTTTCATTGGTCTTTTCAACATCCTGGGCATCATTGTGGGGGTTGGACGGGCCATGAGTTCAGATGGTTCACAGGAATGGGGTAAGCATTCTATCTTTATCCCTTTGTTTTTGCTGCTTCACAAACCCCACTCTTGTTCTCCCTCTCCTCCAGTGTCTCCTTCCCTCCCTCCTTCGCATCCCTCCCCTGCTCCCCCCTCCACGGCCCCTCTCTCCCCCTCCCTTGCACTCCCTCTGTTAACCTTATCATTCCACTGCCATCCCTCCCAACCTTGTCATTTGCCTGTGCATGTGGATGTTCGTGCGTGTGTGGCTATGGAAATTGCAGGAAAGCTTGCTGGCAAGCTGGTGTTCAGTTTCTGGGTCCTTATCCACCTTTATCCATTTGCCAAGGGTTTGCTCGGGAAGAGGGATCGTGTTCCCACAATCGTCATTGTCTGGTCGGTGCTTCTTGTGGTCACCGTGGCTCTCCTGTGGTCAAACTTTATTGGAGGAAGCTTCTGAGAGAGTTATGCCCGCTGCTCTTGCTGGAGGCTACTGATTCTAGCCCGTCTTTATACATTTCCAAAGCGAAGTAGGTACCGTAATATTAATGTTCTGCTGATGCAGTGTATTCTTTCTTTAGGACATTAGTGTCAAAGCTAGCTAGGTAGGAAGAGACTGTCAAATTACATAGGTTATATATAATTGTAGGCTTGGTAGGTGTTACTGAAACCTACTGTAGAGGGTACAGCCCCCTCCTTGTATCCCTCTCTCTTCTAATCTCGACCTCTTTTTTCTCTCGTATCTTTTGGTCCCTTCCTAAACCCTCTCGCCCTTCATGGCTACCTAGCATTCCTAGTTCTGATATGGTACCAGAGCAGGTTGCCCCTCACGGGCCTGCTCCTCACGCTTCCGCCGCGTACTCGCTCTTCGTTCGTCCCTTCCGTGCTGCCGTGGCGGCCGTGCCGCGCTGCCATGGCGGCTTCATGGTGCTGCCGTCGCAGCCCCGACGCGCTGCCGTGCCGAGCTGCCACGCCGTGACGACGTCGTCGTGCTGCCGTGGCAGCGTTGACGTGCCGCCGCGGCATCGACGCCGCGCTGTGGCGGCGTCATCATGCTTCTGTGGCGGCGTCGTCATGCTTCTGTGGCGGCGTCGACGGGCGGAAGCGGGCCGCACGTCGTTTTAGGCACCGCCAGCTCGCCCGCACATCAGCCAGCGCTGTGTAAGCCACGGCGCCTTGCTGACGTAACGCCACATCCCCTGCACCACGCCTAGTTCCAGCCGCAGATGCTGAGTTCCCGGTCGTCGCCGGGCCGTGCCATGCCGCTGTGCGTCGCGAGTTTCGCCGTCGCCGCCGCCGTCACTGCCGCCGTCGCCAACGCTGCCGCTGCCACCGCCGTGCCGCCATCGCCGCTGCGCCGTCGCCGCCGCCCGTCGTCGACGCTGCCACCGCCACCGCCGCCGCTGACGCCGTTGCCGCCACTCGCCGGGGGTGGCACCGCCGCGCACGAGGGACAGCAGCCTCTCCTGCTGCAGGACCTGGGGGGTGCACGGGCTTAGGGGTGTTGGGTGTTGGGTGGGCTTGAGACTACCAAGCCTAGGGGGTGTGTTAAATTATATAGTTTATCTATATTGGAAACACCTCAAAGACTTTAGCGTTTCTGAAGTGTAACACTACACTCGAATAAAAGTCGTATCGAGTACACGAGTCAATGGAGGTTACACGAGGAGGTTGGACGAAAAAACACGAAAGGACGAAGGGACACGAAGGGTTGCAACCGGAGGTTGCGACTGACCGTTGCGACTGCAAGGGTGGTAACCGAACCAACGATCGAGTCGCTGTGTGACTCGATAACCGTTTATTCAACTGTATTCTACAACTGCTTTATTCCCTATTTTCTATATATTCCAGTATGCTTGCTTCTTTTATCAATCACTTGCTCTCACATACTAGTGCAAGGGTTCAACTACTCAACTCTTCCGCTGCACTACTCAAGCATCTTGTACCAGTGGGACTTAGTCTCAGGAAAGATCCTAAGGGCTTTTCTCAGCCCAACATGGTATGAGAGCTGGTCAGAGACCAAACTCCCAGCAACGACACTCAACCTATAGTCAAGCACATCAAGAGAGTCATCGATTCCAAGTCATGGACAACAAGGGCAAGAAGTCTTCTACGGGCTCACCCAACGCCCAAGACACTCAACCCGGCAACTCTGGACTACACACTTCAGGACTGCAAACCGAGACCGGCGCTGCTTAAGAAACAACAGGGAGGGTACCAGAAATGGTGACCCCTTCACCCTCTTCAAGCGTGGACCCGAACCTTATGGAAAGGTTCTTCAGCTTCATGTCGCACTTTGACTAGCAGCAGCAGACAAGGACGCCTGCGCATTCAACACAGAGCAACGGGGGAAATATGGGATTAGCACCAATGAGCCTCGACAACTCATCATTCGGGCGGCACAATCAGGCGCCTACCTTTGCGCCTTATCACTCTTCACCAGGGACGTTCGAGTTCATGCCGCCCCGTGCTCAACCGAAAGCAGCTGCATCACAACAGACACCAAACGAGATATTGAGTCTCCAGGCGCAGTTTTCACATGTGATCAAACTGCAGACATCTTCACCATTCAACGGGCACGACTTCTTTACCTGGAGTTTTGAGTTCGAGCTGCTGATGGAGGCCGCGCACCTCCTGGGATACTTCAACAGGTCCCTGCGATTTCCAAGCAATGGCACTGCAAAGGAGCAGGAAATATTCACTTCTCAGTCGCTGTTGGCGTACATAGTTCTCCTGCAAAATCTGTCACCACAGGAGCAACAGAGCATCAGAACGTATCGGAGCTACGGAAACTCCGCGGAGCTCGCCTGGCATCATCTGAAGTGTCCCTATCAAGCAAACGACAGCGTGACACAAAGCAGACTCATGCAGCAGTTGACCACAATACAAATGAAGACCGGGGAAAAAGAGATGCAGTATATGAGTCGCTGCCAGACACTCCGTGACCGCGTGCTCCAGTGCAGAGGTACAATCACTGAAGAAAGCTTCGTGACACTTGTCCTCGCCGGGCTCGGGCCAGAATGGAGAACCACGCGCTCGCTTCTTCGCGCCTACGGACGAATTTCTGAGATGCACCTCTGCGCCGAGCTCCATGCTGAACAACAGGAGATGGACCTGTTTGAAGAAAGACAACCAAGAAACAAGCAGTAACCGTTAGTCGTCTATACTCAACGAAGAAACGACAACAATTACAACCGACGTGATAAGCAGAACCGACACAACACCAGAGGACTCACCATCGTACCACCGTTCTGCCACAATGGTCAGACATCTGGACACTCCAAGGTTAATTGCACGCGCCCTCGAGTTTATCGTCCAGCAGATCCGCAAGTCGCCTCCACTCAAGAAAATCCGCCAAACCGCTCATCTACACCTGCACGAAACACACCAAACATCATCAACTGCATGGTACGGATCGACAGCTGCAGACCCGAGTCACCACCCACTTACACTCCAGACGAAGAAGAACTGCCGCCGCCACGTTCACAAGGTCTACAGGTCAACCCAACGTATGCTGCAGTCGCCAACGCCGAACCCACCGGGCGAAACACCTGGTTCTTGGACAGCTGCTGCGGCCAACATATGTGTTCTTCCGGGCACTTCGTGCAACGAGAGCGACGTCTAAACCACGACGACATCATCACCGTCGCCAACAACGAGAACCTAAAAACAAATAGACAAGGCGTCGTTCAGCTTCAGTCAATGGAGACAAACGTTATACTACAACTCAACAAAGTCCTCATCGTCGACAACTTGGGATACAACCTACTAAGCGTCAGCCAGTTAATGGCGAAGGGGATTCACCTGGAATGCAATTCGGACGACAACGAGTTTCGCCTTTACCACGGGAAGGGCGGCCTCTTCATCGGTCGCGCTCTCCTGAAGTCGGGCGTCTTCGTACTGGATTTCGTCCCCGACCGCGGTACTGCCGACAGCGATGGCATCGTGTCGTTTGCCGCCTGGACGCACCCACCGGATCTTGACCCCGACTTTACTCCAGACGGCTTCTGGTACTCCAACACTATCCCTGCAGCAGAGTGAACACGAGCATTAGCACTCATTCGACAAGAACGACAAGTACCAACAAGTACACCTTCCTTGACATCACCTGTAGCAACAACAGCAGGACCAAGCCGCGGGACATCACCAGCAATCCGAGGACCGCCATCCGAAGCAGATCAACTCATGCCCATCACCCGAGGAGTCTGCCGCAGTCCTGCCACGATCGTCGCGTTCTTCTCCAACGCCAACCTGTACCAACGCTCACCCGGCCATCGCGCTCCCGACGACATCTGGCATCAACGCCTCGGACACCCTGCAAATAGCACAGTACTACAAACCATACAAGCCGTAGTATTAGAAAAGGACGCTCTTCTCACAATGAGCGGACAGGAGCTTCGGCGACCCCGCGCATGATGCTTCACGTGTCCCGAAGCTGATCTTCCCCACCAACCTTTTCCGTCGCACCACAATCCAAGCGCACCTGTATACGCACCGATGGAAAAAGTCTACAGCGACATCTTAAATATGCCTCGAGACGACAGTGAAGCAGAGTACAACTATGTCATCACGTTCATCGACGCAACAACACGATACGTCTGGCACTACAACCTCAAGACACGTGATCAAGCGTTCGAAGCTTTCACGACGTGGCTCCCCATCGCTGAACGAGAGTCGGGGTCGCAACTCAAGAGTTTCCAGTCAGACGGGGCACTGGAATACCAGTCACAATGATTCAGGAACTACTTGGCAGAAAGAGGCATCAGACGCCTGGTGTCTCTGCCCTACGCTCACCAGCAGCAGGGGGTCGTAGAAAGGATGAACAGAACCTTGCAGACGACGATGCGGAAGCTGCTCCTAGGGATGAGACTGCCCAACACGCTTTGGCCTGACGCAATGAAGCACACAGTCCATCTGCACAATTTGCTGTCCTCGTCATCACTTCCAAACAGCACATCACCGCACCTGCTGTGGACAGGAAAACAGAGTACAAAATTACTTCGAGTCTTCGGCTGCATGGTACAGAATAGACCCCACACAGCCCAAGCAGGACGATTCTCTCAACGAGCACGGTGGGGGCTACACCTCGGCATCGCAAAACATTTCCAAGCATGGAAACTTCTCGACATTCAAGACAAAACCACCGTGGCCTCACGTGATGTAATCTTCTACGAGCGACTGACGCTGCAACATTACCTGGACAACATCGCCAACACAAACGACCCCACCGATGGCTTTGAGGGCCATCGGTCCTTCGCCGACCATGCTGCCGAAGCTAACGCAGCATAAGAAAACGTACAGTGACGGAAACAATTGTCCGTATGTTTTGCATTAATTTGAGTTTTTTTTTTCGCGTTAAGACCATTATACATTAAGCCTTAATGTTTAATGGTGGTATGATTTGGGAGGGGCATATAGTGAATGTGTTCATAATACAAAAATCCAGAATTGTACATTGGATCCAACTCATATCCCAGAAGTTAAACAGGGGGTACATCCGGACAAATAGTTCCAAACAGAGAGAGCAAACTTTAGAACTACGTTTCTCGTACATAGCCCACCGACGTTTGGCCTTGATCACCACCCACACCCTCCTAGGCATGTTACCTACGAGGTTAGTGCAAACATTGGCAGAGAACTTCTTGCACTCTTACTGGGCCCACCATTTTGCATAAGGGGGTGTGCACTAGGAAAATCACGAAAAAGTTGGGCGTATGCAAGAGTATTGTGAATGATTTTTTATTGAGTGGTATCTCAAGA